AGCTGTGCGCTTCCTTCCTGCCTCCGGGCCTCTGGGCTTCCAGGCTCTCTTCTCTGATTGACAGCTGGCTTTGATGAGTCGTGATTCACTCCTTCACGTCTGTCAGCTCTTCACTGTGGAAGCTAATAGATTTGTTTCTTTAAAAAAAAAAAAAAGAGAGAGAGATTGTTTATATGATCTCTCTCTCTCTCTCTCTCTCTCTTTTTCTCTCTCTCTCTCTTGTCATCCAGGGCCGTGTTTGTTTGAGGTTGTTGTCTTTAAAGTGTTTTTTTTGTGTGTGTGTGTCATGGAAATGGCGCCGTGAGCTGACGTGCGCTGTCTGGTGTGTAAACAGTTAATGGAGAAGAGTAGGAGCGCGAACACGTCCACAGACACGCAGAGAGACGGAGATGTTTCTGGCAACAGGATGTTCGCCGGTGATTTAACAAGTTGAAGTCATGCTCTCAGAATTGCCCCGCAGCCTTACTGCTTCCTGTGCCATTTACTTTACTCTGCGTCTGTGTGTGTGTGTGTGTGTGTGTGTGTTTTCAGGACAATACAGTGACAAACACAGTAGCAGAGCTCAGTTTTTTGAAGCCTCTCAGATTCTTCTTCGGGTTCAAAGCCCGGCACTTGTGTCACTCATCGTCTCCCACTTCTTTAAAAAAAAAAAAATTGTCTTTCTCCACTCTGTCGTTTTTATGGCTAAAAATAAAAATGAATGACTTAATGGTTTTAAACCCGTGTTTCTGCTGTTTTAAAAATTGTTTTTTTTGTTCCAGTCCCGGCCCGAATTGACCCCAACAGCTATTAAAGCAGGGAAGCTTCTTGCCCGGAGACTGGCCGGACAGAGCCAGCAGCTCATGGACTACGACAACGTAAGGACGCTCACTCTGTATCTGGGGGATTCGAACCTCATCCCTTTTCATCTTTTTTTTAATCTGCAGACCTGTGCGTCAGCGTAAATGTCTTACACCCACTGTGTGTCCGTGTGTGTCAGGTTCCCACCACCGTCTTCACCCCACTTGAATATGGCTGTGTGGGTCTGTCAGAGGAGGAGGCCGAGAGGAGGCTGGGGAAGGACGGCGTCGAGGTAACGCGCTGTTCTACAGATGGAACCCATCTGTGAAATCTAGTGTGGCCGGAAAAATAGTTTCTCCAAATTTTCAATTCCTGACCAATCAGGAGGCACCTCCACTTCAAAATAGAGACGCTCTGGAAACGCCCACACACGTGGACTCTGACTCATGTGATGATGTCCCCGTCGTGTTACAAAGGGTTTTATTGTTTAAAACCTGAAGTAAATAAAGACTCCGGCGCTGGAATCTGTCTGACGACCACGAGGGCGACGACGGAGAAAAAAAAGAGCAGCTGCTGTAAACGTACAGTCAGTCTGCGATCTCGCGGAGGTTGTTATTTCGTGAGGCAGCGGCGCCACGGTCGGCAATGTGATCCTCTACGTGTACGGTCTTCGCTTTTAAAAAGGCCATCCGTTCGAGTTAAAGACTTTTCAGATTTGATTCCGCAGACGCTCACCTTTGACCTTTATGTACTAAACCAGGGGGTGTCGAACTCAAACTCCAAAAATTAAAAACCAAACCTAAAATTTATTTTAAAAAATTGACCTAAAATTGACGCAAATTGACCACAAATTTACGCAAGATTTTGCGTAAACATTGAATCTGGAACAACCAAAGCTTAACGTTATAGCTAAAATTAGCTATAGCATAGCGCATACACCGCTAATACTACAAATTCTAGTACTGGCGGACCAACGCTAGTACACATTTGATATGATCTTGCTGGGCCAAATATAATAACAATGCGGGCCAGATTTGGTCCCCGGGCCTTAGTTTGACACGTGTCTACTAAACAGTAAACTGCGAAGAATCACTTTATGTTCAAAACAAAAAATAAAAAAAATTGCTCAATCCCGGAAAAGGAGCTAAAGTTAAACCGCAGAACGCGACTTTTACAAACCTTAACAGTACACTGCACTGTTACTGTACAGTTACTGCAGTTTTACTGTACAGTTACTGCGTTGTTACTGTTACGTTACATAATGACATTCGTTGGTGTCAGATTACAGCGTGTGTGCGTGTGTCGGTGACTTCATTCACAGTAGGAAAACAAACAGCCCCGGCCGCTGTTGTCGATCTGCGTCCGTGCCAGGTGCTAGCCAACACCTGCGCGACGCTGTCGATAAAACGCTTTAGCTGCTGAGACGGGGCTCGCGGCCCTGACTGACAGGCCTGCAGTGGGGCCTGATTGAGGTGTGTATGAGCTGATGACAGGCGTGCGGAGATCTGAAGAAGTGCTGCAGAACCTGCCCCCCTCCATCCTCCCCCCGACAGCTGCCTGCTGCTCAACCTGTGGCAGCACGTTAGCTCTGAAACAGGCAGCAGCAGACACTCGTCTCCTTTAAACTGTTTTCCATCATGGCCGAGTGCCGGGGTGTACATGCGGCGCCTACGGTTTTACTGAACTCAAACTGTCTGTAGTGACAACAGAGATGACACTGAGTGCAGCGTGAGGCGGCGTCTGCTGTCGTATCTGTTCTAGGTCAACCGGTTCTACTCTGTTATTCTCTACGGCATTTGTGTCGTTGAACAAAATGCAGAAAGATTTTAGTTTAGTTTTAAGCATCAGGGAGTAAAAACGTTTTTAAAGTTTTACTTATATTTATAAGTAATTAAGTAATTATATAAGTTATATTTATAATTTATATATGTGTATATATGTACATATGTGTATATATGTACATATATGTAATATGTGTAATATATGTACATATGTGTGTATATGTACGTATATGTAATAATCGTACATATATGTGTATATATGTACATATGTGTATATGTGTATACACATATGTGTATGTGTATATATATGTATATGTGTGTATATGTACGTACATGTATGTACGTACATGTATGTATGTATATGTAGTACATGTACATATGTATGTATATATTATATATGTTTATATGTATGTATGTATACATGTATATATGTATGTATGTATATGTACATATGTCTATATGTAAATGTACACATGTACGTTTATGTATATATGTGTGTGTATATATATTTGTATTTATATTCACTCCTTCCTGTCAGCTTCCCGTTGCTCAGGTATTAGCCACACCGTGTCCACTACCGTACATACAGGAGTAGACGTGTTAGTCTTTGCCTTTCGATGAGTTCCGTTGAAGGAAGAATCCACCAGAGACTGGCGTCACTAATCAGAGTCTCTGCTCGTCCTCTGTCTACGTCTGTGTGTGTGTGTGTGTACCGCAGGTCTACCACGCTTTCTACAGGCCTCTGGAGTTCACCGTGGCAGAGCGTGACGCCAGCCAGTGTTACATCAAGGTACTGTGTCTGTGCACCTCAGTGAGGTGTCTGTGTGTGTGTGTGTCTGTGTGTGTGACAGTAACGAAATGCTCCGCTCAGGTGGTGTGTGAGCGAGGAGGAGATCAGAAGATCCTGGGTCTGCACTTCACCGGTCCAAACGCTGGAGAGGTCACGCAGGGCTTCGCCATGGCCGTCCAGTGAGTTCACGTTGATGAAGCCTCACTGTCCCAAACACTGGGTTTATTTTTGAAGGATGGAAACACTAACTTAAAAAAGATCGTTAACAGATGTGTGTTTGTGTCTGTGTCCGTCCCAGGTGCGGAGGAACGTATCCTCACCTGCTGCAGACCGTAGGTATCCACCCCACTTGTGCTGAAGAGGTCGTCAAGGTCAACATCACCAAACGCTCCGGCCTGGAACCCACCGTCACAGGTTGCTGAGGTTAAGCCCCCCCGCCCTCCATCTGGGTTGTCTGTGACCTCGGATGTGAGGATGGGTTCAAGTCCCTTCCTTTTGTCCCACTTCTGCCCCCCCCCATCCTCCATCTGGGTCGTCCGTGACCTCAGATGTGAGGATGGGTTCAAGTCTCTTCATACTGTCCCACCTCTGACCCCCCCTCCTTCTGTGTCATCCGGGACCTCAGGTGCGAGGATGGGTTCGACTCTCTTATTACTGTCCCACCTCTGTCCCCCGCCCCCCCACTTTCACGCTACTTTACCAGAGGAGCTCGATGTGTGTGTGTATGATGTGTCTGTCTTACAGCTCGTGGTGGAGCTAGTTGTGCGA